GTAAGTAATCTTTGAAAAGGTATGACGTGCAGCCAGTGTTGTTTTTTTATACTTTGGAATATTTCATTGTTTATTTTAAATGGTGATTTATGATTGTTGGGTGTTTAAGATGCAAAATAATGCTGTATTCGCAGGAACTCTGGGGAAGTAGGAGGGGACAGTGGAGTCTCAGAGCTCCTTCCTGTGAGCAGAGAGCTGGTATTAGTTATTCAATTAAGAAGAAACAGCCAAGGGGGATTTAATTCTTAGCTGAGCAGGAATTTAAATGAAGCATGCCCATCCCGAAGTTCAGATCTTCTCCTGACAGAGCTCTCTAGCCTTTCAAAGCATATCAAATCACTATGTTATCATTTAATTTCACAAAAAAGGCAAATGACAGGTTACTTTTGGCTCCACTGTGTGGACGATCTCAAGCCCTTGAAATGCTCAAAAAGGTCAGAATGCCCAAGTTTAACGTCTTAGATGTAGAAAGAGAGATTGTAAGGATTGCATCCATTTGCATGAACTTTAAAATGCCATCGAACATCTCAGAGGCTGTACCTTAGATGCACCATTTGAATAGAAACAGACAAATAGAACCATATGTTTAAATGTGGTGTTACCTCTGGGACATGAGTATCAAAAACACATGTTTTTCCTCCTCCATCCAACTTTCTCATGAATCACTCAGTTGCAAATCATCTAGTGCACAGCTCTTTTTCTTATAGTTTTCTGTAGAACAGCTTCAAGTAATATAGTAGGTAATAACCATAAAATTTTAAGGAATACTCTATTAAGCCAGTTTTCTTTTTGGTTGTTGGGAACTTGGACTTTCTTAAACCATGGAAAACTAGACAGAGTTTAAGTTTCATGGAATCTAAAGGTAGATCCTCTACCTCTGTTAGAAATAATAATCATAAATTTAGACCCCATGGGCTTCTCTTATCATGTTAAATTATAATTCATTTGGAGATGTTGGGAAATTATGTCTAATGGGAAAACTCTGGACATTGCCACGCATCATTTATTATCAGTAAATTACATATATATGTAATATACATATATGCCCTAACATAAAATATGCTGAAGAACGATTCAAAATAATCTATATTGAGTGGACAAGTACAGGTAGGCAAATGTGTTCTTTGCCGAGGAGGGGGGACCCTTAGCTATTTCATTCAAGTCTGTTTCGGGAGCATCCCAAATGCTGCTGTTTTTTATACTAGAAGCCCACTTACTATGATTTTGAAGTAAGATTATCTACCACAGCTGGACTGCACATGAGGAATGTTGCAGGGAGGGATGAGGCAGTGGTGTTGTACCTGATTGGACCTCAGAATGTTCTCTTACCAGATGTTGATGTTTATAGGTTGTATACATTTTTAATAAATTTTATATAAAATTTGTAAATGATAGATTTAATAAAATTTTCATAAAGTTTAAAAGCTTTAGGAATAGATTGCTGAAGTTTCTCCTATGAGTGGTGACCTACCTAGCAGACCAGTTCAAAGAAATTGATTTGACCAATAATATACATTATACTAATTTGCAAAAGTAGAAAATAATGCTCTTAATTTTTCTTTTACTATGTGATAGAAAAAATACATTCAAGTATATCAAATTCTTCTTAAACAGACAGAAGCCCTTTTCTAACCTGGTTGAAGGTTCTGACCACTTGATGAAGGTGAGAACTTGCTTTAGGACACACACAGATAATGCCTGATTTCTCAAATCAGTGGTTTGTGCCCCTGTACCCATTACAACGTACAAATGACGTGTTCACACAGGTGGCGTGATAGGCTGCAGGTGATTGGCAATTCCCAGCCAGTTAGACCACATTTGACTTATTCCCTTTCCCTTGCACCTAGAAAGCACATCCAAATGCAAATGCAAATATTGAGTGGTATTGCGACAGGAGTAACTTTGAATTTGATTTCTCTTATGGTTACCGAGAGATAGTTTCTTTAAATGATAGTTAACCATTATAGTTAACTCAAAAAATATCTTAGGGTATATTCTTAAGATATGCAGATTCACTGGACCTTGGCCTCTGAGTTAACATATACTGATGTAGTGTGGTAAACGGAAGCTTCCAAAGAAACAGCTGGGAGAGAAGAAAAGGAAAAAGTAATGGGGGCTGGAGAGATGGAGAGCAAAGGGGAATGTTTGCTCCAGCAGAAATATCACTATTGTTCTCTTTCCCACACAATGAAGAAACCTTGTAACCATATAGGGCCATTTACCCTCTGCCATATTTTTATTCTACATTTGTTACACTTATTCCATCTACATGCATAATGAACCCTACAAAACAATGGTATAATTTTGGCTTTAATACAATTGAGTGAAAAAACTAGCCTTTTATATGTACCTGGATATTTATCATTTGTGATGTTCTTCATTCGTTTCTAAAGGTTCAAGTTTCCCTCAGGTATCATGTCCCTTTAGCCTGAAGAACTCCCTTGAGCATTTCTTGGGGTGCACGTCTGCTGGTGACGAATTCTTAGTTTTCTTTTATCTGAAATGTCTTTATTTTACCTTCATTCTTGAAGGATATTTTCACTGGATGTAGGATTCTGGATTGACAGGTTTGTTTGTTTTCTTAGCATTTAGAAGAAGCCATACCATTGTTTCTGGTTGCCATAGTGTTTGATGAGAAGCCCATGGTCATTCAAATCATCCTTTCCTTGTAGATAATGTGTAATTCTTCTCTGTCTGCTTTCAAGATTTTCTCTTTAGTTTTCAGCAATGTGACTTGGACATCTCGACATTTTTTTGTATGTGTGTGTATTTAATGTGTTTGGGGTTTGCTAAACATCTTTAGTCTGTACATTTGTTTTTCACTTAATTTGGTATGTTTCAACCATTTTTTTCAAATAGTTTTTTCTGCTCCGTTCTCTTTCCTCTCCTTCTGGAACTCCAAATACCATACATTAGACTCTTGAGATCATCTCACCAGTTACTGAGGTTTGGTTCTTTTTTTAAATCATTTTTTTTTCTCTTGTTCAAGCTGGATAATTTCTATGCATGTATCTTCAAATTCACTAATTCTTTGCCATATCCTATCTCCATCCTGCTGTTAAACCTATCCAATGAGTTCTTTTTTTTTGTTAATTTCAGATATATTTTCTGGTTCTTAAATTTCCATTTTGTTCAGTTTCTGTTTCTCTGCTGAGATTTCCTACTTTTTCATTCATTACAAGTGTATTTTCTTTTATATCATTGAACATAGTTGTAATAGCTACTTTAAAGTCTGTATGAGCTGACACCATTGATTGTCTTTCCCTTGAGGATGGGTCACATTTGTACATGTTAAGTTGTAGAGACCCTGGATCCTGTTATATTCTTCCAGAGAGTATTGATATGTTTTTTTTAGCAGGCAATTAACTTTGTTAGACAAAAACTGAAAACCATTTGGCCTGCGGTAGGTGGCAGCTCCAGTCCTCATTCAGCCCCTTTTGTCTCTAGCTGGGCTGATGTGCCTGCTCCTCACACATGGTGTAGGGCTTACAGGAGCCTTGGGCAGAGTTTATACACAGAGTTTGAGGTTCTCCTTCTCTAGCACTCTCCTTTTCAGAATTCTCTCTCAATTTCTCGTGTCTCTGATTGCCCAAGTTTTGTCCTCTGTTTGATCAAGCCAAAAAATGCTACAGTTTTCTCTGAGTTTTAGCTTCCCACACCACATGGCAACTGTGATCTGCACTCGGGCTAAAGCCCTAAAGGGCAGGAGACTTACCCTGTGTTGGTCCCTTGTTCAAAATTATAACTCTGCCTGCTTTATTCACTCTCTAGAAGCTTCACGTAGTCATTGGCTTCTATTTTGTCCAGAGTTTAAAGTTATTATCTGCAGGGGAGCGGGTTGGTTAGGAGCTCAGAACTCCTTACCAAAGATGTAGTCTTTCCAGTGGAAATTTACATTTTGAGCTGATGGCACCATTCCTCTACCTCAGGCAGAGATGTAAGTCTTTGATATTTATGTTAGGAATTGCCTGTTTCTTGTTTTTTAAATTCAGATAATTTAGGTGCTTTTCAGTACCTTATGTGGTAAGGTGTTTAAAAAAAGCACTTGAGGGCTGGCCCAGTAGCATAATGATTAAGTTTGCACGCTCTGCTTCAGCGGCCCGGGGTTCCCGGGTTTGGATCCCTGGCGTGGACAGACGCACTGCATGTCAAGCCATGCTGTGGCAGGCGTCCCGTATATAAAGTAGAGGAAGATGGGCACGGATGTTAGCTCAGGGCCAATCTTCCTCAGCAAAAATAGGAGGATTGGCAACGGATGTTAGCTCAAGGCTAATCTTCCTCACCAAGGAAAAAAAAAAGCACTTGAATGAAGACAGAATGCTTGGGTTCCAGTCCGAGGCTTGATAATAATTTTGTTGTTAGTGCTGTCAAGTCAATTCTGACTTCTGGTGACCCTGTGTACAGTAGAGTGGAATCCTGCCTTGTCTTTTTGCTAGATCCTCTCACTTCCAGCACTATATTAGACAATGCTCCACTGCTATTCACATGCTTTTCGTGGTCAATTTTTTTTTCAGAAGTGAGGGACCAGGTCTTTCTTTCTATTGATAATAATTAGCTACCTAATTATTATTATAATTAGTCATTATTTATAATTATCAAATTATTATTAAACTTAGCTAATTGTTATAGTAATAGCAAGTCATGTGAATCCTTGGCCTGTTGGAAAAGGTCCTTTTCATGACTATACCCTGTAGGCCTCTAATTACCTAATATAAATATCTTGAAGTCTCCAAGTTAATTCACTTCATAGGATTCAAAGGATTAATTTCACGTATTATGTGAAAAGGACATCCTACTATTGGAAGATGTGGTCACGTGGTATTGAGGATAATTTTCCTTTTTATCTCAAATTCCCTTAAAAATACTCCATCCCTACTTTCCTTTATGCTTCAGTTTTTCCTGGGCACAAGTTATTTCATTCAAAACCAAAAACTGAAAAGAATTATATTTTCAGTCTAACACATCACATTTAAAATGTGTTTTGTTTGTTTGTCTCTTAGGAAAAAGTGCTGCAAGGGTTATAAATTTGTTCTTGGACAGTGCATCCCAGAAGGTATGTGATATAAAAGATTATGTCTTCTTACCTTTTTCATGACTCATCATTAGATGTCTATAGAGTTCAGATGTACATAGAGTGAGTGTATGTGTGTTATCTGTGTGTGTGTGTGTATAATTTCTATTTTTTTGGCATTAAGTTCCTCTAATGCCAATTTGGTTACAGGTAGCCTATTCTGTCTAAATCATTACACAACATACACACATACATTGAGTAATTCTTATATTTCAGTTTTTATGCTGAAGAGGCTGTAATTGCCTAATTAGTATTTCATACACAGTTAGAACACAACCGTCCTCCCAACATCTCTACCTGCTTTTCATGTGCTAACTCGAAGCCCCTTCACATGACCATCAGCAAACACTGTGCTCAGCCCAGCACTGAAGAGACAGAGCAATGTAAGACATGGACCCAGCACTCGAGCTGGGGAGACAGGATGTGGATAGCATGGAATCAGAGAGACCTGGATTTTAATCATGCTTCCACATTGCCTTAGTCCATTTGGGTTGCTATAACAAAAATACCATAGATGGGGTGGCTTAAACACAAACATTTCTTCCTCACAGTTCTGGAGGTGGGGAAGTCCTGGACCAAGGCATCAGAAGATTCAGTGTCTGGTGAGGGCCTTCTGGTTCACAGACAGTCGTCTTCTTGCTGTGTCCTCACAATGCAGAAGTGGGTGAGGGAGCTCTCTGGGGCTTCTTTTATAAGGGCACTAATTCTATTTATGAGGGCCTCACCTCGTGATCTAATCATCTCCTAAAGGCTCCACCTCTTAATTACCATCACATTGGGCATTAGGATTTCCACATATGAATTTGAGGAGGACGCAAACATTCAGTCCACAACATACCTCCTACTAGCTATGATCTTGGGCAGGTTACTTTCTAAAGCTTAGTTTTTGCAGGAAAGTATTAGTACTTGACTTGTATGGTTGTTTTAAGAATATTACTGCATGTAAAGTACTTGGAACAGAGGCTGGCTCTTGTGAAGTGCTTGATAAATGGCAGTTGCTGTTATTGCTGCTGCTGTTAGTAATTGCAAGGTGCAGTAGAGGCATTCAGTGCAACAAGTATTCAAGGGGACACATAGCACAGAGGACCAGGGTGGTCAGAGGTGGTCTCAAGGAGGGGAGACTTGAACTAGATTGTTAAGGAAGGCTGCCCAGGACTTAGACAAGAAGAAGGAAGAGAGCTGCAAAGGATTCCAGGCAGAGCCCTGACACACAAGACACTAGGAGCTGTTTGAAGAGCATGAGGTTAGTTTGCCTAGGCCTGGGGTGGGCCGGGGAGAGGTGGGTGAGTAATGTGAAATAGTTTTCTTTACTGTTGCTCAAGAAGCTATGTCTCTATAGAGGACCTGGAGCCCAGCCAAACTAATGCGTGTTGCATAATCTCATAGAGAGCAATTCCTTTATCAATTAGAAATAATTGAATCCCTCCTGTGTATTGCTTTCTTTGGTGGAAGGATGGAAGAGTTCATTAAACCAGAGCTGACCTTTGGGAAAGCTGCTTTAGGAAGGTTGATTAGGAAATCACTTCATATATGATGGTTTATGTAGCCTTGGGTCTCTCCAAGACTGAATTTCACACTGCCAGCCAATTCCGTTGGTTAGAGCTTGGTGGAAAAAAACACAAAGGTCAAAATAATTGCATTCTTTTGTAAGCTAGGTTTTCTCAGTCCTTCATACTTCAGATGTGTCCTTTATGTTTCAATTTGGCAGATACTGAAAGGAAATTGAGGCGGATCAACTTAAGATCCCAGCTAAAGACCTTGCCCAACCTAATTAAAGACACGTTTCGTGGATACCACTTACCTAGAGTTTCTTTAAATGTTAGGTATTGTGGTTCCAAACATCTAGGCCTAAAACCAGTCTCCTTCACCCTAAAGTGAGACTGCAACACCTGTAGTTAATGTAGCCTAGACCTGAGTATTTCCAGGAAGAGTCTCAAGTGCCGCAAGTTGCTTTGCCATAACTCTCTGCTCGATTGCTTTTCACTAGAATACTTTTTAAAGTTGATTTGTTTTAGTCTGTGGAAATCAGTCAGAGTGGGAGTGTGTGGTTTTTACTAAAGATATCTTTAGTCATAAAGGTTTCTATTACCGAAGAATGCAAAGCATAAATGTAAGATTTCAGAAAAGGTGGTATATTAGTCAGGATTCTCCAGAGAAACAGATTTATTTTAAGGAATTGGCTCAAGAAATTGTGGAGGCAAGTCCAAAATCTATAGGGTAGGCCAGCAGGCTGGAAGCTCACAGAAGAGCTACAATTTGAGTCTGAAGGCGTCTGCTGGCAGAATTCCCTCTTTATCCGGGGAGGTCTTTTTTCTATTAAGGTCTTCATGTGATTGGATGAGATCTACCTACATTATGGAGGATAATCTGCTTTACTTTACTCAGAGTCCACTGATTTAAATATTAACCCCATCTAAAAAATATCTCCACCAAAACATCTAGAAAAATGGCCGAATATTTGGGTACCATGGCCTAGCCAAGTTGACACATAAAATTTACCATCACAGGTAGTAAAAAGAGACTAGAATTTCTAAACAAATATGCTAACTAATGAGAAGAAGCTACAGTTTAAAAGGTGTTGTTGCCTCGTATTTGTTGCTCTAAGTCAAGGATCAGAAACCTATGGCCTGTGGGCCAAGCTGACCCACTGCTTATTTTTGTAAATAAAGTTTTATTGGAACACAGCCACACCCATTCACTTAAATATTGTCTGTGGCTGCTTTTGCCCTGTAACAGCAGAGTTTTGCCTTAGTTGCAACAAAGGCCTGCAAAACCAAAAAGATTATCTGGCCCCTTTACAGAAAAAATTTGCCAACCCTTACTATAAGTATTATCTTGATTGGCCGGGTGATAGGGTAACCTGATTTGTTCTAGTTCAACAATTATTAATTGAGCATATACTGTAAGAAGAGAGTGTTGCTGGTTATTCCAGGGGACATAGTTCCTGCCAGATACCAGCCAATCATAAAAACTAGTAACAAAAGAAGCAGAAGAACAGGGAAAGCTTTTTACCATGTGTCAGGCACTGTGCTGAACGCATCATTCAATTTAATCTTCATAAAAGCACTGTGAAGTCCATATTGCTGTTATCCCTATTTTATAGGTAAGGAAATTGAGGCTTAAAGACCTCAAGGTCACAGAGAGAGTGGCAGAGTTTGGAGGGTTGGCTCCAGAACCTGTCCTGGTCACCATAATGCTTCATGCCTCCGAGAGTAGAACCTGACACAGAGGAGGCCTTCCAGAAACAGGGCAGAGCATGTGAGGGAAAGAGAGCGCAGTCTTACTGAAGTGTAAGGAACTCATAGATCAGTCTTTCTTTCTTTCTTTTTTTTTTTGTGAGGAAGATTGGCCCTGGGCTAACATCCGTGCCCATCTTCCTCCACTTTATATGGGACACCGCCACAGCATGGCTTGACAAGCGGTGTGTCGGTCCGCCCCCGGGATCCGAACCTGTGAATCCTGGGCTGCCAAAGCAGAGCGTGTGAACTTAACTGCTATGCCACTGGGCCGGCCCCCTTTTTTTTGGGGGGGGGGGTACGCAGTTTTCACATTTTATTGTACTTTATTAAATTTCACCATTAAATAGGTTTAGTATATGCTAGTCTTATGACCAGATTTTTGAAATGTAAAGATAACTGGATGGATGACTTTAAGAATGTGCTATATTAGACATAGAATTTATTAAACCATTAGAAAATATGGGGGTGGTAAAACTCTTGTCAATACACAATCACACATTTTAATGGCACAAGTAAATGATACAGGGACAGGAAGACGTTATGTAAAACTTTGGGTTGTAACTGGAGGAAAAACCTGTTCAGGACTGATCGGAGGTCCTTGGTTGCTGACAATCCCCCCTGGGTTGAACAAAATCCCTATTAGTCAGGAGAAATAGTAGCAACAGGATAGACTAAGAAATTGGCTCATGTCAATTCAGATGGTGGGGGCTGGCAGTCTGAAGAGAACAGGGATGGTTGGAGGCTGGAATTCCAGTTGGATGTTGCAGCTCAAGTCTGAGATCTGTAGATTAAAAAGATTGGAAAGAGTCCAGGCGGAATGTTAGTGCATCTCTCAAGAATCTTTATTTCCAACAAGCTCCTAGGATACTTTCCTCAAACAGGGAGATGAATCTTAAGGTTGGAAATGTAGTCTCAAGGGATGTAATGCCAGACCTCAAATGCAAGAGTGAACCATTTATATTTAATGTTAATTAGTATAGAGTTTAAAAGTTTTTCGAGCAAGGTGGTGACATTCACAGAGCTATGCTTTGGGAATATTATTAGCCTGACAGTGTTATGCAGAATGGATTTAAGGGGGAAGAATCTAGGGATGAAGATCCTATTTACAGGGGAGGTTCTGAAGGTCTAAGTTAGAATGGTGCCAAGAGAAATAGGAGACATAGAAAATAGGCAAATTGTAGAGGTAAAGCAACATGACAGAAAGCTGGTAGGCTCTTGGAAACAAGCATCAAAAATGGAAGGTTGAGGGGCCGGCCTGGTGGCGCAGTGGTTGAGTTCACGTGCTTCGCTTTGGCAGCCCGGGGTTTCACAGGTCCGGATCCCAGGCATGGACCTACGTACTGCTTATCAAGCCATGCTTTGGCAGGCGTCCCACATATAAAATAAAGGAAGATGGGCATAGATGTTAGCTCAGGGCCCCTTTTCCTCAGCAAAAAGTGGAGGATTGGCAACAAATGTTATCTCAGGGCTAATCTTCCTCACCAGAAAAAAAAAAAAAGGAATATTGAATAAATTCATTAATCTTGCTATCTCCAGAACTCCCACAAAGTGGAAAAAAAAGGCGGGGGGCGGGGGGGTGGTTCACAAAGACATAAACCCACAAGGACAAAGAAAAAGGTAGAGGAGATAACAGTAACAAATTTTGGAATCTGGAGAACAGATAGAGAGGTTGTAAGTAGCTTAGCAAAATGAGAAAGGTGAGTCCTTTACCAGCATCAGAGAAAACTCAGGAGCAGCCCAATTTATACCAAAACAAATAACAATCAGAAAAACTAAAAGTCTCCAGATTCCAAAATTTGTTACTGTTTTAGATGTAGGGGTGAAAGTGATGTCAAAAACAGGGTTGACTAAAAGTCTGTTTATGTAGAAGTCAGGGTCCTAGATCTGGTCCTCCACTCCACGCAGACAAAATATTGCCCCTTCTACAACCAAGCAGGCAACCAGAGATGTATTCTTTTGAGAGGGTACCTGGAGACTCTTGGGACTGGGGGATACCAGTCAGAGATGAAGGTAGGGGTCCAAAACTGAAAATTGAGGGATTTAGTCAAAGATTATACATTAAATTTTGAAACACTGAGCTGCCTTCTTCACTTGAGTTCCAGGATGACTTTACTTTCAGGCAAGGATTTAGAAATGTCTCCTCTGGATATTCTAGACAACTCAAGGAAAAAGTCCTAAAGAAACTGACATTGGAATGCCCCAGCCAAACCACTTAAATGAAGCCCAGGATTTATAAAGTCTACCACATTCAAAGAGCTTCTATTCAGCTATTTTTAGTACTTCATGAATCAATCAGAGGAGATATCCAAACAGGAAAAGGATCACCAGATGTTAGAGGAAAACCTACAATAAGAAACACACAGAAAAACAGTCTTAGAGAAAACACAAACCACACAGAACATAATAACTACCATTTATACCTCAGTGAGATATAAAGATGATATAGCATCCATGAAACAAGAGCATGATATTATTAACAAGGAATATTCAAAGAAGAAGGAATCCTTGGAAATTAAAAACATAAAATGAAAACAGTAAAAGGGTTGGAAGATCAGATTGAGGAAATCTCCCAATAACTAGAGCAAAAGATCAAAGAAATGAAAAATAGTAAAAAAAAAAAAAAAAAAAAAAAAAGATGAGAATATTAGAGGACCAGTCCAGGGGATGCAACATCCCAATAATTGAGAGTTCCACACAAAGCAGAGAAAAAAGAAGAGAAATCGTTAAAGATATAATTCAAGAAAATTCTCCAGAAGTGAATAATATGAATTTCTAGATAAAAAGGGCCCACCAAAGATTGAAGTGGTCCCATATGAAGACATCATTGTGACATTTTGTACACTGGGAACAAGAAGGAAATACTAACATTTTTCAAGAGAAAAATGTGAGATTCATACAAAAGATCGAATTAGAATCTAGTAAGACTTGCCTATAGCAACACTGAAAGCTAGAAGACGATGGAGCAAAGCCTTCAAAATGCTGAGGTGGTTTTCCAGCCTAGAAGTATATACCCAAACTAGCCATAACCATAAGGGTTGACAAAAGACATTTTTAGACATGCATGATTTCAAAACTTTTAAATCCCTTAAGACCTTTCTCAGGAAGCCACTGGAGGACGTGCTCCACTAAAATGAGAAAGTAAACCAGAAAAGAGGGAGTCATGGGATCCAGGAGTCAGGGATCCGACACAGGTGAGAGGTGTGAATCCTGGGGTGATGGTGAGTGGACATCCCAGGAGACAGCCGTGCAGCAGACCTGCAGGGTCCTGTCTGGAGCAGGTTGGAGGTTCCAGGAGAAACTTCCTCAAAATTTAATTAATAAAACGTCTAAGAGGAGATTTGCTGAATTAGGAGAGTCTCTAGGGATGAATTAGTGATAGATTTGTAGAAAACTGAGTGTGTGGATCCTAGTTAAATCCAGAAGTAGAACACTCACCAGTTATTTAACAGAATTGAATACGAAGAATTGCTAACTAGAAATTGAGAACTGAAAAGACAAAAGGAAAACACTGTCACAGAGGTAACAACTACAGGAAGCATCTACCACTTCTAGGCCAGGGGAGCCAGGAGAAGATGTTGGAAGGATTAAAACTGAGAAGCTTGGAGGACATGCCCATTGCACTGGGACCCAGAGAGCTGAGGTGGGGGCACCGGCCAGCAGATGCTGTTTCTCTGAACTCGGAGGAAGTTATCCGTGGACCTGGGACCCAGACCTTGGGAAGGGAGCACCGGAGGCTGATGCTGGTGTCTCGGGGATGGGATGTAATGAGGCTGATTCTGCAGGTGCTGGAAAAACTGCAAACTGGATTTTGCTGCTGCTGTTGGAACAATCTACTGCTAGAGGGAAGCAGCAGGAAGGCTGAGGCGAGGCTCTCAGGAGCAGGAAGCACAGGAAGCAAACAGAAAGGCACATGCCCCTCTTTCTCCTCCAGCCTCTCAGTGTCTGTGTCTGTCTGTCTCTCCCTCCTCCTCCTGCCCCCTCCCCCTACTCCTTCTCCCATCCCTGCCCCCCCCACCGAATTAGCCAGCAGCTGACAGGGCAGAGAGGAGGTGGTCTCCAGAGTCCCAGTCACAAAGTAGCTCATGGAAGGGGGAGTTTGAATCTAAGAAAAAACGCTCAATACCTGGTACCCCAAAATATACAAGATAATTATTTTAATTCCAGGGAAAACAAAAGGCTCTTCAGGAAAGGATAGGTAATTAGAGCATACTCCCAGGCTCAGCAAAGAATAGCTTTTATATTGTCATTATGGTGCAAACACTGAAGATTTATCCAAGATTTCAATATAACTACATTAGCAAGATGGAGGGACTAGAAAGTATGGCTGTGGTGGGGGAATGATGGGAAAAAACCCAATGCATCCTTTCCATGGCTGGAGATCAATAGAGAGGATTTAAAAGGAAAAGAAGGAAGCAATGCAAGCTGGCTCTTGAGAGATGCAGAGGGAACTAATAAAAGACTCAGCTAGAGGAGGTGGCGATGGCACCTCAAGGGAGCAGGAATGGTGGAGGTGAGCAGGGGCTGCTGCTGTTCGAGACAAGCCTTGTTGGGCACCACAGTCAACACAAGGACTTCTGATGGCCTCTCTGCCCTTGTCCTCCTCCCTGGTGGCTGCTGAATGATGGCTACAGCTGGCCGAGCAGGGCAGCCCACAGCCCATCACGGCTGAGCTCTTGCTCTTAAGCAAAAATAGCACAGAACGTTGGTTCCCTGGAGGTGATGCTTAGTTGAAGAAAACACCTTTGACCAGGGACACACACTGGCAAAGCAGACCTGGAATCACAACTGTGGGGAGGAATATTTAGCAAGGGCAGCGTTCCAGGCCGTCATGTGAATGGCATGATCCTTGTCACACCAACCCTGCCTGCATCAGAGGCTGACCGCTCACCCATTCCACCTTTGTATGTGTGGCAGCGCAAAGCCAGGCTCACTCCATGTCCAAGGAATGTTGATCTGTCAGCACCTGGGGAAGAGAGTGCGGCGATTAATGAAATGCTGGATCTAGTCTGGAAGTAAATGCTCAGCCTGAGCTCCTGACCTAGAACCAAAGTCCCTTCAGAGGCTCGTTAAATATCAGTTTGTTCGTGAGGACGAGAGGAGGAGATGCCCGTTACAACTGTTTATGAGGAATAGAGCATCCACCCTAATTTGCACAGGCTGAGGGCTGGAACGAGATCTCTAGCCATTTGACCTCACCCAGCCCCTTCTCAGCATGCAGAATCAGCCCCCGGTATGCACACCTACCCCCCACACACACACACACACCAGCCCTCTAACAACTCATGTGTGTCTCTGTTCCACAATCCTCCGAGCCTGCCTGCCTTCCAGCCCCCGCTCTCATGTTAACACGCCAGCACCCATCAGCAGGGCTGGCTGCTGTTCAGTGTTCAGCTGGAAGGAATTCCCTATCTCTTCAGTAGTGGGAGAAAGAGAGAAAACAGGCCCCCAGGTGAGGCTGCAGAGCCTGGCCATCTAGAGCATCTTTACTCTCGGGTGGAGTGACAGAGCAAAGGAGGATGAGGTGCCCGGAGGAAAATCACAAGTGGTGTTTGCTTCCAACCACTGTGATGCTGGGCATTGTTACCCATTGCAGAACTCAGAAGGCGCCCCATGGCCTGAAGAGTTAATGCTCCCCTAAACATAGCTGGTCACTCCTCACCCTTCCCCTTTGCAGAGTGCAGCCCGGAAAGTCTGTTCCGGTCCAGGGCTGGGGACCTCGCTTTCGCCTGGGAATGACTGTGATTGACGTGAGCTCACGCTTTTCTTTTTCAGATTATGATGTGTGCGCCGAGGCTCCCTGTGAACAGCAGTGCACAGACAACTTCGGCCGAGTGCTGTGTACTTGTTACCCAGGATACCGGTATGACCGGGAGCGACACCGGAATCGGGAGAAGCCTTACTGCCTCGGTGTGTTGGCGATACCCGTTATTTTCAGCTCCTGGGGATATGCCTCGTTCAGCTGCTTTGATCTTTGATTCTTCCTTTATATCTTGACACTTGTTGGATACAGTTGCGTTGGTATTATCTTAGGAGTCACTGCCTTTCACCCTGATTATTAGAACAAACTATGGCCAAGGAATTCTTCAGGGGGTTCGTACCAGTCCGATCCCAATAGGCAGTGAGATATAAGAGCAGGAGGAGGGGAACGTTAACAAATGAAAACTAGAATAATGTAAAACAGAACATAAGTGGGCAGAAATGTAAAAACACAGAAAGAGTGAAACAAGAGTAAGCGTTCTCTCTGAAGACCATCAGGAAGAAAGACGGGGAAAGAGGAAGTGTCCACATGGCAGACAGGTTGGAAGTGAGTCAGAGGGAGCTGAAGCAGCCGCCTGGACTGCAGCTGAGCAAAGCCAGCACCATCCATCGCCACCAGCTTGTTCCCCTCCCCCTCACTCCCTGGGCTTCCCAGCCTTGCGCTCGCAGAGTTTCTGAGACAAGTTTTTGGTAATTGTGCCCGCGAGCCACATGTTGCAAAGTGTAGTCACTCTGTGGCTAACCTGTCTCAGAAACATGTGGGGTTCTTGCTTAAAAAAAAAAAAAAGGTTCTTTGCCTTCCCTCCAGACTCTGAGGGTGGGTCTGGAAATCTCCATTTACACACTTGTCTCTAGCCATTCACATGCAGAGTCAAGTTTGAGAATCAGCTGAAGGAGGAACTGAGGAGGCTGGCAGAGGGACCCAAGTGGACCACAAACAAGCTGTGATGAGCAGCCCCGTTCTCTGCCCCAGCAGGGGCTCTAGAGAGCAGCATTTAAGAGATGTTCTAGACTTTGGGTCCCCTGTCTTCTCCCCAGTGGCACCTGGGATGGCACACCATACTGGCAAAGAATAGAATGGAGACCACCAAGTGAATGGAGCAGGAGCCCATGGCCTCTCCTACAGAGAGTGTGGTATGCCATTCTGTACCACCGAGGCCCGGGCACAGCGCTCTTGTTTCAGTTTTTGGTTCTACAGTACCCTGTTGTTTTCACCTAGGGGATTTGGGGATCAGCAGAACTAGCATTCTGCTAAGAGTCCCACCTATTTCTGTCTCTCCTTGCAACCTTTTCTTCCCTATTCTGGGCAGTAGAGGCAGCTTCATGCTTAGGTTTAGGGCAGGGGCACATGGAGAAAGGTAGTCAGCCTGAGAAATTGCAGCTGTGACATCTTAGTCTACAGATGACGTAGGACATACTGCCAGGGGGACATCCAAATGACCACGCTGCCAGAGGTGGGTCCCGGGCAGCTTGTCCAGGGACTGGCTGGGCTGGACGTTGTCAGCATCCTGAAGTGCAGGGCTGGGCTCTGTCTGCCCGCCACATGTGCACGGTCTGGGGCTGTGTGTCACGGCCCCCTCCTGCTGCCACCCGGTGTCTTCAGCCAGCGAATAGAAAATGGAGTTGGGCCTCCCTCTCCTTCCCTGTTGGGAAAGGGTTTTGTTTCTACCCTGTTTAGTAGGGGAGCAAGTCTGTGATGTGCACGGTTCGTGTGGGCTCTTACTGGTTGCTTGTTTGATGGGCTCATGGCTCATTTCCACAGCTCGTGAGGGGTCTGTTTGGGTCATTGATGAGGCCAAAACTTCCTAGGGAAAACACGCTCCATAAGACCCATTATAACTATTTTCTTTTATCAGAAGTGGCTTTTCCCAGGTACCGTCACGTCTGGTAACTGGGAGGGAGCCATTCCTAAGTGACCTTGGGTCACCATCATGCTGTTTGGAACCCACAGCCCTAAGGGGGACATAAAAACCTATGGCACACTAGGATCCTTGCAGAAAATCATTTCTATGATGCTTGCTTTTCAAAGCGTGTTGCCATCGGTTATCTCATTTTCTCCTCTTTGGAGCCCTGCCAAGTATAGGACAGGCTTCATTATCTTGTTTTATAGATGAGAACTTTGAAGGCTAGCAGTGCCTGCACCAAGCCACGTGACTTGGCAGTGGCAGAGCCACAACCAGGAACCCCATCACCGATCAGTTTGTAACCGTGGTGACCCTGCCTAAAGTGCTCCTGTCATGGATGGCCCATGTTTCTAGCTTCCTACTTTATCCCAGGCTTCTCCGATAGAGGTCTGGCAAAGTGTCCTTTGCAGACATTAACAGAAGGGCCAAGCCTGATGTCATCTGTTGTGTTGGAAGTGAATTCTTTGAAACTCTGAGCATTCTCTGCATTTGGTTCAAACCCAGATATCGACGAGTGTGCCACCAGCAACGGGACGCTGTGTGCACACATCTGCATCAACACCTTGGGCAGCTACCGCTGTGAATGCCGGGAGGGCTACATCCAGGAGGACGACGGGAGGACGTGCATCAAGGGAGACAAATACCCCAATGACACCGGTGAGTAGGGCAAGTAAAATTATCCCCCTAAGTAGGTAGGTAGGTAGATAGATAGATAGATAGATAGATAGATAGATAGATAGATAGATAGGCAAGTGGGAGCCCAACAGCGTCCCTCAGGGAGCAGTAGGCAGATGGGGCATTTATAAGAATGGTTAGTGGGACCGGGATAAGAGACAGGTAGGATATAGGTCAGGCCCCTTCTAAAGAGACCCAGTGAGAGCGACGCCTGTTAGCAGCAAGGGTTGTGAGCGGGTGTGTAACCGAGGAAGCTCTCCACGAAGCAGAGGTGGTATGCTCATGGATAGATCCCGAGAACTCCGTTACATGCTTAGACCAAACTAGGATGAGCAGAGGAGAGGCCATAAACACTGTGTTCTCTCAAAGAAAATGCACTGAACATACATAGGAAACATTTCCATGTAAGGCAAGAATCTACATCAGTGCTGCTCCAAGTATGCAGTCCATGGCCCTGGGCCTGCCCCTGAGCTGTTTGTTATTTGATTCATGATGGGACAAAAACAGAAATTGAGAGAGTTTAGAAATTTTTATGCCAATTTGACGGGAGAAAAGTTGTCTAAATCCAAAGATTTATGCTTGTATTTGGTCTTATTTTTCTAGTAATGCATTTTTATTATATTTTGCAAATAGAGTCCACAGTGAAGTACAAAACTTTTAGAAGCTGGCTTTTCTTCACAGACTTCGAGAAGCTGATTTAAATTACGTCAACCAGATTCAACTGAGATGTCTGGTCACTCAGGGGCATGATCAGCCTGAGTGTTGGGTTACTGCCTTATCTAAGTTTGGAGGGGAAGGAAGGAACCTTGTGCTCTGGCATCCTACACGTATAGGTCAGAAAGCTGTTATCATCTTCCTGAGCTCAGGGCCCGGGTCTTCACTGCCTCCCTCAGGAGGAGAGTCCTGTTTGTCGGGAGAGGTTAGCTGTGCCTGGGCCATCTCTGGGTGGGGAGAGGGCTTCTAGAGCAAATCCCATGTACCAAGAAATGCAGGGAGATGAAAAGCCCAGAACTGTCTACACGCTCGGGAGATGGTGATTCTTGGGTGTAGCCTGAGATTCAAACAAGGGTAGAAGGCAGTTGCCATCAACTGAAGACAGTAACCAGCTGGGGACCAGCTGCCTTACGTGGAAAAACTGTAAGGCAAAATTCTGAGGACCGACCAGGTTGAGTTTTGACAAAGCCAGCATATATTAGAAGTAAATGCAAAAGATCTGTTTGATCAGGCAATTTGGGATAATTGGAGTCAATAAGAGGGCTTAGTGACACTTTTTAAAGCCTGAAGTGTGTAGGACATGTGCACCCAGAGGTGCTTCAAGCAGGGGTAAACAGTTTTTTTGGCATAAGGGTTGATTGAGAAAAAACTTTCAGGCTACTTTTTTTTTTTTTTGTGAGGAAGATCGGCCCTGAGCTAACATCCAGGCCAATCCTCCTCTTTTTGCTGAGGAAGACCGGCTCTGAGCTAACATCTATTGCCAATCCTCCTCCTTTTTTTTTCCCCTTTTTCTCCCCAAAGCCCCAGTAGATAGTTGTATGTTATAGTTACACATCCTGCTAGTTGCTGTATGTGGGCCACGGCCTCAGCATGGCGGGACAAGCGGTGCGTCGATGCGCACCCAGGATCCGAACCCAGGCCGCCCCTAGCGGAGCGTGCGCACTTAACCGCTAAGCCACGGGCCGGCCCCAGGCTACTTTTTTTTTAATTCAAAATTAAAATCACTTCATTTTTGTCCCATGGTAGAGAAGGTGGGGGGCGGGCAGGATGTGTAAATCACCTCTTAGATTATATCCTTTTTTGAAAGGAAGAATCTCATTAAAATGAGGTGTGGTCTTTCAGCCACTGATATATCAACGTGAGGGCTGACTTGAGAATTAGCAACAAGGAAGCAGCTTCCTAATTTTTCATTTTGGAATTGAGTGTTCAGCTACGCTCTGAGCCAGGTAGCCCGCGGGCTGTGGGCTACTCAGCCTGGCATTCTGTTGTGTCTGTGCCTCACATTTCTATTCAGGTGAAATCCATTTACACGGGCGTGAAGGGCAGCCTTGAGCAGCCCAGGCTAGAGCATAACCATCAGAAACAGCAACACCACCTACTGCTGAGTGTCAAGGTGGGATCTCCAAATAATAGGACCAGGCCCCACCCATGAGCACTTCCCACCTGGTGGGGTAGATTGGTCTGCCCAGAGGCCTGACCTTAATTAGCAGAGACCCGAGGAGTTGGATGGAATTTCCAGAGCCCCGGGTAGGATTTTACATTCTGAATCTACTTGTTCTTGGGCCTCCGGTGGCGTCCGCCTCTTACAGTAATTCCTAGGTTCTCCAACCACATCCCTTTTCTGTCCCCATGGCAGTGAGCTCCACACAGTCACCTTGCTGTGGGGACTCTAGGGATGGCTCTGAGCCAGAGTGCAGTGACAAGGTGGGCCTTGTTGGGAGGTGCTCACCTCCTGCCTCACACTTTGAGAGAGTGGATCCAGAGAGGGCCCAGCCAAAGGCTGGGGCGCAGGACGCTCTCAGTGCTTCTTTGAAATGAACAGTCTATTGCACTAAGTCGGTCCTGGGACCACTCTCCTTGCTTCCCTGAGAAATGAATTGTACTTCTCAAAAAATTTTCCAACACAACAAAAGTTTCAGTATGAGAGATCAAGAATTTTAAGTGATAACCAGTTTGACTTCTAAGCCTGAGAATTCAGAAGAAACCTCAGCTGTCATAATTATGTGGGACATATATGTGCAATTTTTTTTGCTCCTTCTCTAGTATTACTTTCATTTAAATACATATTTTATCTCAATCATTTAGTACAGCGTTTCCCAACATTGTGTTCTACAGAACTTTGGGGTCCTGTGAGGTGTTAACCAGCCTTTGTTTAGAGCTTCTGTGTTCAGATGTTTGGGTAGGAATACATTACTGCACCCGCTTCTTAAGGATTTACGATGCGAGTGCATTAAAAGCTTTGAGCGAGATTGCCATGCAAAAAAGGTTAATTTTAGTTAAACCTGGATTTCCCAGAATTATTTTCTTAAGAAACACCTATAAACATCTCACGGATGGTGGTATCTTGAAAAATACAGTTTGGAAAATTCTAACTTATTAGCATCAAAGAGCTGAGCTCTGGGGCCTGAACTTGGTTAGGTCATCTGGTCGACTTTCAGGCGAGGATATTTTCATCGCTAGATGAAGCAGCCAAAGTCCAGAAGGGAGCCATTTACTGCAGAGCATCTGACGAACGAAAACAGGATGGTACTCCTCCGCTCTGCCCTACTGAGAGACCGTTTGTTCCTGTTTACAGTGACTTCAATGGGAGATGTCCTCCTGTTTAATCAGCAAGAACTGTCTGGTGGTTATACCACTGAGCCTTCTCGTAACTCACCGCACAGATTAGCCTCGGCTGCAATTCTCTCTTCCTCCTCCCTCCTCATCTCCCTCCAAATATAACAACTACGAATAGTTTTTTTAAAAACCTGAAACAACACCTCTCTGTTGTATCACACTACCTCTCCCCAAGCAGCAACGTTATAAAAGGATTTCTCAGTATTTCATTTTCAGTAACTAGTGTGAGTTCACCACATAGGCACAGAGGACTAGCATTTGGTTTTAGTATTTTAGTAAGAAAAACATTCCAACGCCGGTAACCAAGGACACTGGGGGGTGGGGGGGAGGGACCGAGAGGAGTAATTCATACACGCAATTAAAATTACGAGATAGGACAGGCACATTGTATGCCCTGAAAGTGACAGTCATAACTCAAGCAATGGGCCACAGAGAAGTGGGGGTGCGGGGGGGAGCTGGCTTTGATGGTTCTGGCAACAAAAAGCAAGTGCCCAGGATTCACTTCCTCCTCAGCTGTGATGCCGTGAAAAGTTCCTTGGCTTGGAAGTTAGGAGAGCTGGTAGCCGGACCCAGCTGAGTGATATAGGGCAGCTCCCTGGGCCTCAGTTTCTGCTTATGTAGACAAGAGCGTTGGACTGGATGAGCTCTGAAGACCCTTTCACCTTCATACATCTTTTTAACAATTGGACGTGATTTAGCGTAAGTAAAAGTAACATAAGCCCCTACCAGCCCTGTGAGCCCCTCATTTCTTGATCCTCCGTCTAAGCCAGTGCCAACCCTCAAAGACATGCTCTGCTTCAACACCTTCTAAACAGAACTTTCCTCACAGTTTCTACAAGATGAATAATTAACATCGGATATTCAGCTCAGCAATAGGAAAAGTTAGGGGCTGAATGAGCCCTGTCTCTGGAACAGCCGAGTCAGCTAAGTGGTTTCATCTGTTTTGGGCTAATAAGCCCAATATTTCATCACCGTCATTTTTTTGATGAAGAGAATGATTATTGAGTATAAACACATGCGATCTAAAACCTCCTTTCCCTCCTGTTTTTTGTTTTTTTTTTTTAACTTTGCGTTGTCCAATGTCTATAACATTATAGTTAGAGGAATTGAAAATTGGGCACAGCCTCAGCTAGTTGTTAGGAAAGCCGGCGGAGAGCAGCAGGGGCCGCCCTCGGCCGGGCCTCTGGCAGTTGAGAGGTTGCTGTGCACTCACAGGCATGGTGACACAGCCGTCTGGCTAATAGGCGAGAGTGGTGCACAGTCACTTTGATTTTCTCTTTGAAAATATGTGGCTGGAGCCAGTTCAGTCACCCCAGGGAGCCTGTGTAGCACCGATGAGGAGACAAATTAAGGACATGTTGGCTCCATGGTAATTAGCTTGCTGATCTCGATTTTTCAACGTTTGTTTGTTTTCTGATAAAGCGACCATGACCCTCAACATTACTTACAGTTCAAAGTGTCAGGGGGTGGCCAGGTGTTTCGTATAACTTTCAAGCTCCGCTAATCCATAGATCAGTGGCGCTCAACCTGGTGACCTTTAAAAAATGCTGATACTGTTCCCTTGTTGTGACCCCAGATGGGTGGGGTGCAGCATAGTGGGATTTTTAAAAGCCCCCCAACATGGTTATAATGTGCCACCTGAGTTGAGAACTACTGCCAGGGCACAAATCTGCACGATCGATTTTAAAAAACAAACGTGCTTTGTTCACTTGTGACACTGCCTGTGTGAGATATGTTGGGAACATTCTTTAGTTTTCCCGAGTTTATTAAATATTAATATGGTATCTAAGGAATTCTATTTCTAGCGATTAGTGTGTAGATCCTGCTCAACACCAGTAAAAATTAGAGCTACACGCTCCCGTGTGGCTAATCGCTAGTATTGCAACTTTAAAATCTGAACAGGTTGGAGCAAAATGTTGAGTGATCCCTCACCAGACTTTTGTTAGAGACCCGTGAGCACAGCGTGAATTGAGGGGACTGAAAACATGCAAAGTCAGGGATGTCTACCAAGATTTCTAAATGAATTATTAATGTAGCATATCTGGATTATTTTAGCTCCACCTTTGATATTACTGCAGACAAATTGCAGGGTGGATGAATCCCAATTCAGAATAGACTGTTCCAGGTCTATACACGCAAAGAAAGCACATGTTTTTATCTATCTTCAAACCCTGAGACCTCTTGCCAAAGGATAATGTAAAAAGCCCTACCCCACATCTGTAATTTTGTAGGGAACTTAATACCAATGATAATAAATAATACTAATATTTATGGAGCACTTGCCATGTACCAGACACCGTTCTGGGAACTTACAGACGTTATTTGCTTGACGCTTCACAAGAACCCAGGTGATAAGTCCTATAGTCATTTTACTGTTTGAGGCATGGACAAGCACAGAAGCTGCAACTTCCAACCTAAAAGGTACTAAGTGGCAGCATCAGGATTCGAATCCTGATCACCTGACTCCACCAGAGCCTAGGCTCCTTGCTACTGTGTTATTCCTGCGTCTGCAGAAGCTTCAAGTCTTTTGGACAAAGTTAATCTTGATCTCTGTGTTCTGATGATTCCACAAAGTACAGAAAACAGGCCAGGCATTTTGGTCACTCAGCAGAGCCTCTTCCCCAGATCAGTGATTGTTGAACTTGCATGTCTTCAGAGTCCCTTGGAGGGCTTTGACAGAACTGTGCACTAGGCCGCACTCCCAGGTTTTAGGATTTCTGAGAACAGGCACCCACATGCTCCTGCTGCTGGTCTAGCGATCACACTTGAAAACCACTCTCCTGTAGCCTGCCTGGCAGATAGCTCTCAGGTATCCTGAACAGAGCTCCCAGTAGTGTGCTCACTGCGGCCCCACAATGCCCGATTCGGACGCTGTAAGTGCTCATTCTCTGTGCACAGCGTTCTGGGAGACCTAAAACAAATTACTTTCCTTCTCTGGATCTTATTTTTTTTTTAATCTGTAAAGGAGATTGAACTAAATATAACATCAGTTCTAACAGTTCATGATCTAAATAGAGTTTAGAATCTGGTAAACAGGTTTATTCTGTGACACTATCAAGTTCCGTTAATCACACCAACACTCAAAGTTCAACTGAGTGTGTAAGATTAGAAATGGAAAGATGGGGTTTTAAGCCTTGTTCGTGATGGCCTGGCTCTGCCAACAGGGCTAGTTCCTTAAAAGGAAGGTCAATAGCAAATCGTTAAACAGGTATCCTCACTTATTTTGCGTTCTCAGTGCCTCACACATGGCCTGGCGAATATCAGATGCTCCATGATGGATAGGAGGGAGAATAGGGTGGATAGATGAATGGATGAGTGAATGGACAGATAGATAAAGGGGTGAGATAAGTGTTGCTTATGGCAACTGACCTAGACAGAGCACTGCTTCATGCACTTCAGCCTGCTGGGTTGAGAAATGTGTTCCTAGCTTGTGTGCTCCAAGCCTCAGACCTCCCACAAGGTGCAGGTGTTGGGGTGTGGCCAGTTAGGTCTGAACTGCCTGCCCACTGCTGTGCTGCAGATGAGTAGTCAGAGATCTCAGCTGCCCCTGGGCGCCCTCATCTCCCAAAGAGCAGAAACACCAGTCACCGTGTAGATCACCAGGCAGGGGGCTGACGCCATTGGAGAGATCAGCTGGGCTGCATGAGGAATGTTGACTTGAGCATGGGGCTCTTCAACTGCCAGCCCATCCATCCATGTGTCAGTTTCCTAGGGCTGCTGTAACAAAGTGCCACCAGCCAGGTGGCTTAAAGGAGAGAAGCGTATTGTCTCAGTTCTGGAGGCTACAAGTCTGAGATCCAGGTATCAGACAGGTTGGTTCCTTCTGTGACTGTGAAGGAGAATCTGCTCCAGGCCTCTCCCCTGGTTTCTAGAGGTTTGCCGGCAATCTCGGGCATTCCTCGGCTCCTGCTGCATCACCCGGTCTCTGCCTTCATCTTCACCTGGCGTTCTCCCCGTGTGAGTGTCGGTGTCCAAATCGCTGCGTTTTATAAGGACGCCAGTCATATGGGGTTATGGGCCACCCTACTCCAGTAGGACTTCAACTTAATTACCTCTACAATGACCTGTTTCCAAAAAGTCACATTCTGACGCACTGGGGGTTAGGACTTCAACATGATTTGAGGGGGAGGGGGCGCAATTCAACCAATAGTGCTCCATTTCACAAACATCTTTTGAGCATCCGCTGTATGAGATACCAAGAAGCAACTCCGGTTCTTAGATGGCTTACACGCTGGCATGTGCACTAGTAGCCCCTCCACAGGGAAGCCTGGAATACCCGCCGTTTGAGTGGGACACGTGGTAAACACTGCCTAATCTCAGAGGACTACAGTGTCTCTGTGGATAGAGAGGGCGGGCTTCATGGAACATTGGAACTGGGTCTTAATAGTTGGTAGGATTCCGCAAATGCAGACAGCAAAGAGGGCTTCCCAGAAGAGGGGAGTAGTGAGAAGAAAATCAGGTGGGCCCAGAAGCCCAAGAAATGACTTGGGGAGATACGTTACTCGACTGTCCCCAGGTGACATTCCAGTTAGCAGTGGTTATTATCTGCCAGACAAACACCAATGCCAAAGAGCTAAGCTAGGAGAGTTTACACTTGCCTGGGTGTCCAACTGTCCTGCCCCACCCCAAGGAAACACGCGCACAGCTTCTCACGTCCAATCTTGGCCCACACCACTGCCACCGTCCGCCCAGGCCTTGCTAGTCTGCGCCTACTCATCAGTAGCGGGACGACCTCCAGTTTCCGCAGCACGCAGGCTTGTGTAGTCCGTTTCGGTGCCAGTAAGATGAGAGCTGTGTGAATTCTTGGCCGTGTCGCCATTTAACTCACCCAGTCATTAGCAAAATACAATTTTACAAAAAGCCCTTGGAGCTCCCAGTGCTCTACAAGGCGGCATTGAGACCTTCACGGTGGACAGGCCCGATTGCTTTCCCAGCACCTGTCCCGTTTGCCCCGGGTGGGCATCCAGGGTGCCTGGCACGTTTATCTATCCCGGCCTCACATCTCCGTGGAAGTCAGTTCCTGGGCTCCATCTGTGACCCTGCCCAGCCTGGCAGCGCTCCCTTTAAACAGCTGGATTATCAGAGGTGATAACCAGCTTTGTGAGCCCTGCACCCTACACCCGTTGTCTGAGCGTGGGGGATGATTTACAGCGTGTGAACGTTGGCCCTTAGGAGGATAAGTCATGCTGGGTTGACAGAGCCTGCCTCCTGGAAAGGTGTTGATAAAAGGGCCATGGTTCACATTTTCACACATGGAGGAGGAAGACGCTGGGGTGCTAAATGGGAACAGCTGAGCCCAAAGTGTGGCGGGGCCCGCATCCCCCTGCCCTGACCCGGGGCTGCTGTCCGTGACCTGAGAACTGTAAAATCGCCAGCCTCTGTCCCTCACACGTTTCCCCGCCGGCCAGTCCACCTCAGGCCTGCCCTTCCTGACGCTGTCTCTCTGGGTCTGGATGTCCTCCCCGCTCAGGGCACGATGAGAAGTCGGAGAACGCGGTGAGGGCCGGGACGTGCTGTGCCTCATGCAAGGAGTTTCACCAGATGAAGCAGACGGTGCTGCAGCTGAAGCAAAAGGTACGTGCCTGGTGTGTCAGAACCAGTCCCGTGAACTAGGAGGAGGGCTTGGCGGAGACAGTGGAGGAATGTTGACAAACAAGGAGCAATTGTCTTCCACGACCTCACTGATCGTTCACTGAGGTTGGTGCCAGCTAGGTTTGGACTTGGATGCTTTGCCCACCCACCCTCAGAGCTGACCACCTAAAGGGCAGCAGAACACAACGCAGGCGGGGGTTGAGTAGGTGACTGTTAAATAGACGACTGGGTGAGGGGCACGTGGCGAAGCTGTAGAGAGGATGAGCTGTGACTAGTGTGACTTTTTGTAAAATGAACATCTGGACACAGCCCTGGGGCAGTCTGATGTGATTCTATTTTACCTAATATTTTGTCCATATTTTATCAATAGAGAACATCCTCTCTCTAAACTTCCATACACTGGTGATGAATTTCTGCAGCGGCTTTATTTTTCACATTTGCAAGTTACAGTCTGTGCTTTGTCTGGGCTCCACGCACCTTGGAAAGCAGCCTCGTGTCGCCGAGGGTGAGGACTGACTCCCTTTATAAAAGGCTCCCATGCATGCTGGGTGGAGGATCAGATTTCTAGTAACATAATTATGCTGTGAGTAATGTTCCGTGGTGGATCTAGTAGACTGATTTCTTGAACAACTGTCCTGGACCCAGATCAATGGTATTTATTATACCTAAGGTCAGTCAATCCACCAGTTTGTCAGCGACTCAGAAATTGCTCCTACGCTGGTAAAACGTAAACTTACTGGTCTGTTCATTTCGTTGCTTCCACTCAAGTCTCTTAGTACGTCAAAGAGGTGCACGTAATCTGTTTAGCTTTGACATCTAGTTATTCTAAAGGGCAAAAGGGTAAGCATAAGACAATATAGCTTTTCTGTGTTCAACAAACGTGCCGGCAGCCCCTGATGAGAACCACAGCTACGGGGGAAACAGGCAGATTAACAGGCTGAGAAGAGAAGTGGCTTTGTGGGCCTTTTGTTACCTTGTTGGAAGATCTATCAACTTTAACAGAGGCATGTATAGTCATGCACTACATAATGACGTTTTGGTCAACGATGGACCACATATACGATGGTGATCCCCTAAGATTAACACCATATAGCCTAGGCGTGTAGTGGGCTATACCATCTATGTTTGTATAAGTACACTCTATGATGTTTGCACAGTGATGAAATCACCTAATGATGCATTTCTTAGAATGTATCCCCATCATTAAGGAACACGTGACCGTGTGTGTGTGTGTGTATATATATACACTTAAACAAAAAGGAAGCACCATGAACAGAGATATTTCAAATAATTTCATGTACAATTATCATCACCACAT